CCCCAAAATCCCCTCCCAATGCCCATATATCCCAGTACCCCCCTCCCAGTACCAATACCCTCCCAGTAACCATATCTGCCCAGTACCCCCCCCCAGCACCTGTACCCCCACCCGGTACCCACACACTCCCAGTGCCCTGGTACCAGTAAGGTAGTTGTAGCAGTCGGTGTAGCCCTCCCGGTACGGGTCGCACTTCTCCACGGCCAGGCTGCCGTCGCTGGTGGTGGTGGCGAAGATGGCGGCCCCGTGGCGCACCAAGGCCACGCACACCCCCGTGTCGTTGCACGAGGCCGCACAGTGCAGCGGCGTCCTGGCATCGGCAGGATAGGGGTGGAATTTTGGGGGTTTTTGGGGGCAGAGGATGGGCTCCCTGTCCCCATACCAACACCCCCCAGTGTCCCAGGTCAAGACAGCCCCTGTGCCTCCCCACATCCCACAGTGACAGGGGGGTCCCCCCATCCCTCCCTGTCCCAAATCACCAAGGGCTGTCGGGGGACTACGGGGGTCCCCGTGACTGGAGGCTGACAAGGATTATTGAGCTCCCTGTCCCCGGTCATTCCGGGCTGTTGGGGATAACTGGGGTCCCCATCCCTGTCCTTGCTCACCCAGGGGTGTTACTGGGAGTCCCTGTTCCCATTCCCCCAGGCTCTGGGGAGTTATTGGGGTCCCCCTCCCTGTTCCCCATAGCGGGGCTGGGGTCCTTGGGGGTGCCTGTCTCCATCCCCTCTGGCTGTAAGGGGTCCCAGGTGTCCCTTCCATGTCTATGGGGTCCCCAGGCCCCACCCCTGTCCCCCCACCCCCATGTCAGTGGGTCCCCGTCCCACCAGCCGTGGCTGTCGGGGGAGTTGACGTTGGCCCCGCTGGCGATGAGGAAGTCGACGATGCTGTAGTTGGCGCCGCAGATGGCGTTATGCAGCGCCGTGATGCCCTCGTCGTTGGGCTGGCTGGGGTCGTTCAGCTGGGGACACGCATGTCAGTCCCCACACTGCCGCCCTCTGCCCCCCCAGCACCCCACTGCCACCCCCAGCCCCTGCCCCCCCTGAGAACCAGGCATCTTGTTCTCCTTGTCACACTGTCCCCCATCGCCTTGTCCCCACCGTCCTGCAGCCCTTGCCACCCTGTCCCCACTGTCCCCAGACCTCACCACCCTGGCCCTTCACCCTGCCACCCTGTCCCCATTGTCCCCACTGTCCCCAGACCTCACCACCCCGGCCCTTGACCCTGTCACCCTGTCCCCATTGTCCCCACTGTCCCCAGACCTCACCACCCCGGCCCTTGACCCTGCCACCCTGTCCCCATTGTCCCCACTGTCCCCAGACCTCACCACCCCGGCCCTTGACCCTGCCACCCTGTTCCTCACCACCCTGTCCCCATTGTCCCCACTGTCCCCAGACCTCACCACCCCAGCCCTTCACCCTGCCACCCTGTCCCCATTGTCCCCACTGTCCCCAGACCTCACCACCCCAGCCCTTCACCCTGCCACCCTGTCCCCATTGTCCCCACTGTCCCCAGACCTCACCACCCCAGCCCTTCACCCTGCCACCCTGTCCCCATTGTCCCCACTGTCCCCAGACCTCACCACCCCAGCCCTTCACCCTGCCACCCTGTCCCCATTGTCCCCACTGTCCCCAGACCTCACCACCCCAGCCCTTCACCCTGCCACCCTGTTCCTCACCACCCTGTCCCCATTGTCCCCACTGTCCCCAGACCTCACCACCCTGGCCCTTGACCCTGCCACCCTGTTCCTCACCACCTGTTCCTCACCACCCTGTCCCTTGTCCCCACTGTCCCCAGACCTCACCACCCCAGCCCTTGTCCCTGCCACCCTCTGTCCCCTTCCCCATGTCCCACCTCAGCCACCGCCTGCTGCACCACGTCCAGCTCCCCGGTCAGGGCCGCATCCAGCAGCAGCACCAGGGGGTTGAGGCGCACGCGGGCCCCGGGGCGCCTGCGGGGCGAGGAGGGGTCGCGCAGGGCCGAGCGCCGCTCCTGCGGCAGCCAGGGGGTCAGGGAATCCTGGGGACACCTCCCAGGGCACCCGGCACCCTACGGCACCTGGGGGGACCCTGGGAACCCCTCCTGGGACACCCGGCACTATACAGCACTCGGGGGACCTGGGGGACACCTCCCAGGGCACCTGGCTCTCTGTGGCATCTGGGGGACCTTGGGGACACCTCCTGGGGCACTTGCTGTTCTGTGGCACCTGAGGGACTTTGGGACACTGGTTGGCACCACAGTGTCCCCAGGGGGACAACAGGGACACTTGCAGGGCCTGTCTAGTGGCACGAGGCACAGTTTGCCATCTCTAGGGACACCAGGGGAAGCCTTGGGGACACCTGGCACCCCAGGGGGCTCCAAGGGACACCATGGCACCCCAGGGGGGCTCCAACGGACACCAGGACACTGTGTGGCATCCTGGGAGGCTCCAAGGGACACCAGGCACTGCATAGCACCTCTGGGGACATTCAGGGACACACCAGGCACTGCCTGGCAGCCCAGAGGGCTCCAAGGGACACCAGGCACCATGTGGCATCTCGGGGGGCTCCAAGGGACACGTGGCACCTCAGGGAGCTCTAAGGGACACCATGGCACCCCTAGGGGCTCCAACGGACACCAGGCACCACGTGGCACCTCGGGGGGCTCCAAGGGACACCAGGCACCATGTGGCATCTCGGGGGGCTCCAAGGGACACATGGCACCCCAGGGGGCTCTAGGGGATACCAGGCACCACGTGGCACCCTAGGGGGCTCCAAGGACCATTAGGCACCACGTGGCACCTCGAGGGGCTCCAAGGGACACCATGGCACCCCAGGGGGCTCTGAGGGACACCAGGCACCACGTGGCACCCTAGGGGGCTCCAAGGGACACTAGGCACCATGTGGCACCTCGGGGGGCTCCAAAGGACACCATGGCACCCCAGGGGGCTCTGAGGGACACCAGGCACCACGTGGCACCCTAGGGGGCTCCAAGGGACACCAGGACACTCTGTGGATTCCTGGGAGGCTCCAAGGGACACCAGGCACTGCATAGCACCTCTGGGGACATTCAGGGACACCAACCACTGCCTGGCAGCCCAGAGGGCTCCAAGGGACACCAGGCACCATGTGGCATCTCGGGGGGCTCCAAGGGACTTCATGGCACCCCAGGGGGCTCCAAGGGACACCAGGCACCATGTGGCATCTCGGGGGCTCCAAGGGACACGTGGCACCATGTGGCATCTTGGGGGGCTCCAAGGGACACGTGGCACCTCAGGGGGCTCCAAGGGACACCATGGCACCCCAGGGGGCTCTGAGGGACACCAGGCACCACGTGGCACCCTAGGGGGCTCCAAGGGACACCAGGACACTCTGTGGCATCCTGGGAGGCTCCAAGGGACACCAGGCACTGCATAGCACCTCTGGGGACATTCAGGGACACACCAGGCACTGCCTGGCAGCCCAGAGGGCTCCAAGGGACACCAGGCACCATGTGGCATCTCGGGGGGCTCCAAGGGACACGTGGCACCTCAGGGGGCTCTAAGGGACACCACGGCACCCCTGGGGGCTCCAAGGGACACGTGGCACCTCAGGGAGCTCTAAGGGACACCATGGCACCCCTAGGGGCTCCAACGGACACCAGGCACCACGTGGCACCTCGGGGGGCTCCAAGGGACACATGGCACCTCAGGGGGCTCCAAGGGACACCATGGCGACCCAGGGGGCTCTGAGGGACACCAGGCACCACGTGGCACCTCGGGGGGCTCCAAGGGACACGTGGCACCCCAGGGGGCTCCAAGGGACACCCTGGCACCCCAGGGGACCCCAGACACTTACCAGGGTGGGCACGGGGCTGCTGGGGGACTGCGGTGGAGGGCTGTGGCGAGGTGGCCGGGCCTCAGGGGTCACCGGAGTGGGGGGCGGCAGGTCAGATGAGGTGCCGGTGTCACCGGGGGCCGGGGTCTCCTCGCGGCGGGGCGGCCGGTGCAGGAGGCGGGTGATGAGCTGCTGGTACTGGCGGGTGCGAGTGGGCGGCAGGGCCGGCCCCGGGCACTGCTCCATGGAGCCGCGGCGCTTGAGGGGTCGCGGCATCTCGGCCAGCACCCGCGCCACCTCCTCGAACTCGGGGACCCGCTGCGCCTCGGGGGGCAGCACGGGCTGGAGCCGCGTGGGGCTGAGCGGCCGCTCCAGCACCTCCGTCTCCCCACCCTGCAGCAGCCGCTCCAGCTCTGGCTCTCCCTCCGGCAGGACGGGCTCGGGGGGCGCAGGGCGCCCAGATCCTGTGAGGGAGCTGGGGTCAGGGCGCTCCAGCACCCCAGCCCCACGGACCCCCTGCCCTGGGTGGGAGCACAGCACACCCCAGACCCACAACCACGCACCCTGGGTGGGTCAGCACACCCCGGACCCACAGACACCCCACTCCGTGTGAGTCAGCACACCTGAGCCCCAGGGACCCCCCCACTCCAGATGGGTTCAGCACCCCCGCGCCCCACAGAAGCCCCTCCGTCTCCCCACCCTGCAGCAGCCGCTCCAGCTCTGGCTCTCCCTCCGGCAGGACGGGCTCGGGGGGCGCAGGGCGCCCAGATCCTGTGAGGGAGCTGGGGTCAGGGCGCTCCAGCACCCCAGCCCCACGGACCCCCTGCCCTGGGTGGGAGCACAGCACACCCCAGACCCACAACCACGCACCCTGGGTGGGTCAGCACACCCCGGACCCACAGACACCCCACTCCGTGTGAGTCAGCACACCTGAGCCCCAGGGACCCCCCCACTCCAGATGGATTCAGCCCCCCCGCGCCCCACAGACCCCTCTAAACACCACCCCCCCCATCCCGACTCAGCACGCTGCAGCCCCCCATCACCCCCATATACCATACCCCATATCCTGCTGCCCACTCCAGCCCCACAAACACTCTCCCCCTCCCCAATAACCTCTATGTCTCCCCACCCTGGACCCCTCTGGCCCCCCACCCCATGGGGCACCTCACCTTCACCCCCGGGCGGCGCCGAGGGGGCCTGGGGCAGCGCCGGGAGCTGGGTCTGCTTTTGGGGTGCGCGGGGGCTGGCGGAAGGGACCAGGGGAAGCCCCCGGGGGCCGCCGACCCCCTGCTCCCAAAAAGC